TCTGTGACCTGAAAGCAAAACAGCCTGAACTACTGTGCTTCTTTCCTGCTATTGCTGAGATTTTACCAAATACACAATGTCAATCCTATAATGGTTTTTCCCCTCACTGCTTCAGCCTCTTACAAGCACCTACAGGATCTAATGACTTACATTTCAAAAATTCTTGTCAGTTTCACCTTATTATTTTAACCCTTACGCCTCCTTTTAGGGCCATTCTGATTTTTTCACTTTTTTTTTTTAAGTGTCTGAGATTTCCCCCCACCATCACCATTTTTTTAAAGGCAGTTAAGCCTAAAATTAATTAATCATAATTTTACCTCTTCCATCAAGCCCCTCTTGACCCTCCTAAACATAATCTATTAGACTTGTTTATGTGTCCTGCTCTTTGTAAGTGCTCAACAAATGCTTCTAAAGTTAATAATATTGACAAGTTCACAGTTTAATTGGCAAGTATCAGAAGCATCCAAATGCGGTTAGCCAAATCTAGGCCCAATAAAAACTAAATTTTATTATATATTTTCAGGACATTTTTAATAATAGTGGTATTTTTAATGTGTTGAGTAATATATTTAATTGTTGGGCAAACTACCTTTTTCTACATTTATCTGCAGGTAATGTATTATTTAATTCTCATTGCGTCCTTGTAAAATTGGTTTGGCAAGTATGATTTTCTAATTCACATGTGGGAAAACTGACCAGCAGTTATCTCTATGATGCTGTGGAGCCCCATGAGAACTCAAACATTCCACTTGTAAATCCAGTGCACCAACTCTGGGAAATTCTGCAAACAGACTGCAAAAATGAATAACTAAAGAAACTTACTTTTTGCAAACAATATGGAAATGAATAACAATGGAAACATCTGTCAAGAACTCATATGTAATAAACATAACCATCAATTGGCAAGATATGTTTAAAATGTAGGCTCCATTAAATATTTTTTTTAATGGACGGATAGTATGGAAGGCATAAAATATTTCCATTGTATTCCTGCTATCCAATTTCAAATTGAATTAATTCCCCACAGAACCTATACTCAAATAGGATTATAAAAGGGATTTCACTATTTGGAGAAAAAAGACAAGAAAGCTGTGTCACAGAATGTGCAATGTGATACTTATCTCATGTACTATGCCTTAAAGCTACAAATGGGAGTCAACCCCCTTTGCCTCCTACCCCATCCACACTGAGCCCAAGGGGGCTTCTGATTAACACTTGTCCAAAACCCACGTTATCTACTTTTTTTTTTTTTTTTAATTTACTCTTATTTCAGATATATGTCAAATACGCATTGCTAACAAAATCTGTTGGCTTTTGTGACCCCTGGGTCGTGATAATAAGGATTATCGCCTGCTAATAATACCTTAGTTTGTTTTGCAGGTCAATGAGGCAAAGTGGAAGTTACCTCTTGGAAGTAACTTATCTTTGATCAGTGCTACCAGTAATTTCAGGATCACTAGCACAACCGTGAGAAACAGACGATTATAAAAGTGTCCAAAGGGTAACTCCGGCTTGGCCAACCCGACCTCAAGCCCTGGTGCCAGACAGGAAGGACGGAGACTGGGGGGCGTTCAGTCCCCAGTGTGCAAAGTAACCGACAGCTTGTCCATCCCACAGCTCGGCGCCGGATGGGATGGAGGCCGGGCAGGCAGGCTTGCTGTGGCCCGGGGGAGGTTGAGTGCATACCGGGTTGAAGCAGTGACCTTGACAACCCCTCCGCCGCCCCGGGAGGCTCGGGGTGGACGCACGGTTAGGGTAGCGGCGCGACAGCCTCCAGGTGGCCCGGGGAGTCTCAGGGCGGACGCAGCGCGGGGCAGTGGCGGTATCCCCCCCCCCATCCCCCACCCCCGAGGCTCAGCCTCGCGGGG